GCAGTGGGCGATCCGTCGTCGTCGGCGTTTTCACGCCTTTCGCCGCCCCGCGCAGTGGGCGATCCGTCGTTGTCGGCGTTTTCACGCCTCCCGCCGCCCCGCACAGTGGGCGATCCGTCGTCGTCGGCGTTTTCACGCCTTCCGCCGCCCCGCGCAGTGGGCGATCCGTCGTCGTCGGCGTTTTCACGCCTTCCGCCGCCCCGCGCAGTGGGCGATCCGTCGTCGTCGGCGTTTTCGCGCCTTCCGCCGCCCCGCGCAGTGGGCAATCCGTCGTCGTCGGCGTTGTCACGCCTTCCACCCGTCCCGCGTTGGCCTTCTGCCAGGTTCCACGGGTTGCTGATCGTCGGCCGCCTCCACGGCTCTGACCTGACGCGCAGGTCCTCCCCGCTTTCTTCCCTTCGCACGTCCGTCGGCATCACCGGATCCGCGCGGTACGCCGCCCGACGTGGCGAGCGCGTCGGCGATCTCCCGCGCTCCCTCGAGCGTCTCCTCCGCGACGGAGATCGTTCCCGCCGTGAGTACGTACGCTGCACACGTTGATCGTGGCAATCCATGTCGCCAGTAAGGTCTCTCTCGTTTTGTGAGAGATTCCTACCCCCACAAGCTGGCTGCCCTCAGTTGCGTATCACCTAGCTGCCGTAGCCTTAGAACGGTGAATTGAATCCACTATAGTAGGCAAACAAAACGAGAGAGCAGGTTCTAGTGTCTAGGCTAGGCTGCTTTATTCCCTACCCAGAGTCACGACCATTTCCATGGCCTTGGGTTGGGTTCGAGTCGCCATGTGCCTTACTGGTTGCTTGCAGATTCCCTGCTCCTCGAGGCGCTTGTAGCTCTTCCCAATGTCCCAATTCCCCATGCTACCAACTTCGCGTCATTCCCTTGAAGCTCAACAACCCCTCTGTAAAGTTGCATAACCCCAATCCTACACCTCACTACACCAATTATAGCGTACAACCAAATATATTGTTCTTTACCACTGTATTTGGTGACAGAGGGGACGTGAAACCCAGTGAGAGACCCGGAGGGAGCAGCAGGACACGGTAAAGTGGTAGTGTGACGTGCAGTGACTGGTCCCGTAGTGGGATCAGCCAACGCTACAGAAACAGGCGCAGGAAGTGGTGTAAGTGTCGTGCTGTCCCGAAAGAAGCAGTGGGAGGCTCCAGAGTCCAGTGTGAACGACAGCGAAGCGTCCTCTGAGGTAGTCGCTGGTCTAGAGTCTACACAAGTACCTACACTAGCAACAGGCAACTGAGCAAGACTAGCACCTAAGCTAACAACACCAGAGTAAACAGAGTCAGAAACACTAGAGTCAACAACAGCATACATAGCATGAGGAGCACTAATCAGATCAACTAACTGCTCAGCAGACATGCCCCACAGAGCGGAGCCGTAGCGTTGAACCAGAGGAAGCCAGTCAGGAGCAGGACCGCCAACCCCGTAGGTCAACCGGACCGTGTCAGTGAGCTGAGCAAAGCACTGACCAGGGGGGTGAAAGCGGCCACAAGGGTGGCCCCGACGAGGACCTGTCTGAACCTGGTAGGGGCAGGGAGGGTAAGCAGCACCGCGCTGGGGCTGACGCAGCCCCGACCCCGGAGCCAGCTGCTGACGCTGCTGCTGCTGAGGCTGCTGGGAGGAAAGGGGCTGCTGCTGCTGCTGAAGGTGCTGCTGACGCTGAGCCTGGTACCACGCCGCTGCTCCACCTAGCGGGGCCGGCAGTACAGGAGGCGACTGACGAGCTTGAGGGTCGCCGCCACCAGCAGGTGCAGTGGAGTCACCGGCCGCTGCACGAGGGGTCTCTCCAGACGCTGCACTCCCACCACCGCCAGTCGCAACAGCACCCCCACTACCTCCGCTACCTCCGCCTCCACCTCCACCGGAACCACCTTTCTTGCCCCCCCTGCCGCGGGACCGCGACGCAGTCGTAACAGCAGCCGCAGTCGCGTCAGTAGCGGCAGTGGCAAGAGAGGCAGTGAAGGTGGGTAACTGCGGGACTGTGCACCCGTGGAAGAGTGGGGGGGACACAGTACCAGAGGCGGCAGCTACCGAACGAAGGTTGCTCTCGACGTCCTTGAGTGCAGACTCAAGGACCTCGATAGTCAGCTCACTAGGGTGCTTCAGCAGAAGCGCGTCACGAACGGAGGCAAGGCGGTCAGGGAGGCTAGTGGCGATGAAATAGACAGTAATCGCCATGGGGGGAGGAAGCAGTGCAAGCTGTGCCTCAGTGCAAGCAGCGCGGTAACTAGCGTCAAGCGAGCGGAGGTGAGCGATCAAGTCAGCAGAGCGCTCAAACGAGGCAAGATCAGGAAACAGGAACGGGAGGAAAAGACGGCCGAGAGAGACAGTAGCGGGAGTAGAGTAGCGGGCCTTAATCGCAGCGAGGTACGCAGCAGCGGTGCGAACCTGAGTAAAGTGGACCTCCTCGGACTCAGGGAGGAGGCTGCTGAGTGCGATGCAGGCCGCAGCGTCACGCGACGTCCAAGCCGTCCGGTCAGCGCGCTGACGGGCAAAGCGAGCCGTAGCAGCGTCGTCAGGAGCAGGGCCTAAAGCTGTAGGCTCGGGGGGCTCGGGGAGGTCACCAGTAGCGTGTGACCAGAGGGTCTCGCCCCCCTGGACCTGACTCTCTAACAGACGACGAGCGCGAAGAAGCCAGACGGAAAAGTCAAGGGGTCTACCGTCGGCGTCGAAACGAAGAACTCGCGGAGTCGCCATAGTGAGAACGAACAGGCGAGTAACAACCGGGGGGGGAAGAGGACTCAGTCGCAGCGGAAGAGCGGGCTAGGACGACGGGCCAAGACGTAGGGTAGGGCAACGGGCCAGGGCCTAGGGTAGGGCGACGGGCCAGGGCCTAGGAAGGGCGACAGGCCAGGGCCTAGGGAGGGCGACGCGACGGGGGAAAGGGCAGGGCGACGCGACGGGGCAGGGCGACGCGACGGGACAGGGCGACGCGACGGGGCAGGGCGGCGCGACGGAGCAGGGCGACGGGACAGGGCAGGGCGACGCGACGGGGTAGGGCGACGCGACGGGACAGGGCGACGGGACAGGGCAGGGCGACGCGACGGGACAGGGCAGGGCGACGCGACGGGACAGGGCGACGCGACGGGACAGGGCGACGGGACAGGGCGACGCGACGGGACAGGGCGACGGGACGGGGGGGGGTAACAGGCGGGCGCGACGCGACGGGGGGAACGGGCGCGACGCGACGGGGGGGAACGGGCGCGACGCGACAGGGGGAACGGGCGCGACGCGACGGGGGGAACGGGCGCGACGCGACGGGGGGAACGGGCGCGACGCGACGGGGGGAACGGGCGTGACGCGACGGGGGGGAACAGGCGTGACGCGACGGGGGAGATGACGCTAGGCTCGGTACTAGGCGCGGTAACTACGAAACTGGTACGAACGAGAGGTAGGATCAGGCTCGGGAGGTACGAACGGAGAACGGAGGAACGGGATCCCACAGGATCCTAACCTAGCTGATACCATGTCAGAATGAGGAATGGGTGTTGCATTGATGTTGGTTGGGGTACATATGACAAACCCTAACTTCTGTACCCCCTAAGACAAACCTCACTACAGGCTACAACATTTGACAGTATTTGTGTTCGAACTCATTTGGGATACTGTTCGTACAGTCAAACTGATACGTCGGTTCGGATTTTGGCCTTCCGCCCCTCAGGTGAAGCGCCCTTAGTCACTCGCGAACGTCTTGCCCGTGAGTGACTAAATTGACCATTGTGCCGATTTCAGGGTACAGTCACCAAGTTGAGGAAGAAAAACATCTACAGTTCATAAACAACAACGGTTGCCCGTCATCAGAGAAGTTAACCTGGTTACGAAATTAAAACCCTTAACTCGATTCACGTTGCAATTTCATAACATTTTTGCCCGTGGCGACAAGGGCGAACGTGGCGAAATGTCAAAAACACGTTTCACGCACATGCCGCCCGCCTACCTGGTGTTCTTGAAATGGGCACCGACTGTACGTCATATTTTTTCTTGGTGGCAGTTGATACTGTACTGAAAATTGGAAGCGTCACACGCTACTGTATCGCGTACAAACGAGACGGATCACACCCGCCGTTCGCCTCCGCACCGTCAGATTCGACACCCCAACCGATCTCCAGGACGTCTTGAAGCACGTAATACAATTTTAGCAAAGCTTGCTTGCTAACCACAAAGACAAGCTTGCTCATTAACTCTTGGCGAATAGTTCGCGACATGCGCTTGCGGACATGCCACTTCAATCTTTCTGTTCTTCTAAGGCCCTCACCTTGGAGTTTTCTGTAACTGTTAATGTACCGAATGCCAATTGTTTCACTCGCGTCACATGAGAACCCAGGTGCAGTACCTTAGCTACCAGCGCAACCCATGGGAACGAAATCGAAGGCCAAAATGCATTCTGCATTATCACACAATCTCTCACAGACCAAGGCATTGCCGCAAGGCAGCCACAGCTGCTCGTACCTGATCCAAATCTCCTCCAAAATGTGTTTGCGAAATTGACATGGGCTGGCTGGGGTCCAGCAACATGGAATGTGCATGTGCGTGTGCATATGATGAAGGCAATATTGCTCCAACGGCATTCAAATCAGCCTGTGCTGCATCTCCTGCTTGTCGCTCTGGGGCTGCTGCTACCATTGAAGGGTCTCCGTGGTTAGAAGCTGGTGGGGGGAGTGAAGGGGCTTGCTCAAGGAGGCGAATCAGCAGCAATACCTGGGTGTTCAAAGGCAAGAGAGTGAGAGGGTGGGTTAACAGCAAGGAATGGCCAGGGGTCCGGGGATGATACAGTATTGCAAGCTGCTGTTTGCTGTTTTGTTTGAATGTAGGTGGTGAGTCGATTTTTGAGTCGACTCAAAAATCGACTCATCGCACGCGAATGGCCAGGGGTTAGGGGGATGATACGGTATTGCAAGCTGTTGTTTGAATGTAGGTGGTGGGACCAGGATGGAGGCAACTCTCAAAAACAGACTTGCCTCCAAGGGCATTCACTGCATAGTGGTAGCTTACCGACTGGGGAAAATGAAAGGCAGGTTTGAAGAAAGAGGGGAAGAGGGGAGTAGAGACTGGAGCGGAAGGGACAAGAAGAGGGAGAAAGAAAGGTGCAAGGAAGAGAGCGGGAGCACACAGACACATACTGTTGCCTTGTGGCCTTGTGTGTGAGCTGCCACTGCGCCACCCCCACAAGCCCCATTCGCTCCGCCATCCCTCCACTCCCCTTCCCCCATCTCCACCTCCCCCATATCCACATCCGCATCCCCTGCTCTCCCCTCCCTTCCACCCACATGCCCACCCTTCTCCTCCTCGCCACCGCTCTCACTCCTGGCACCTCCACTCCCGTCGCCCACGTGCACACAAGCCGCCTCATGCTCCTCATGCTGCTGCAGGTCATCCACAATCCTCTCGTACTCTGATACCACTGCGCTCACCACCACCGCTGCTGCTGCTGCTGCTGCTGCTGCTGCTGCGGATGATGATGATGATGCTGATGCTGATGCTGATGCTGATGCTGATGCTGATGCAGTTGATGCCTCTGGGTGTGCTGCCGTTGTTGCTCCTCCCTCCATTTGCTCAGAATTTTCAGCCACTCCTGCACTAAGTGCCTCCTGCTGCTGCTGCTGCTGTCCCTCCGCTCCTCCCACCTCCCCCTCACCTTCCCCTCCATCCTCCTGCATCCGCTCCTGTCGGCCCCCCCCAGGACAATCCCCCAACCCTCTCTCCTCCTCTTCCTCCCCTACAAGCCCATCCCTCGGCTCCCCTGCCCCGCGCACGACACGCACCCCTCCCCCACGTGCGAGGGCGTGGGAGCAGAGAGCGTGCAGTAGCGACCACACAGCAGTACGCGCACCCTCGTCGTCCGAGACCAACGGGAGCAGGGCCAGCAGGCGCGGCACAAACTGCGGTGCTGCGAGGTGCGGAGCGGTTGGGGAGGTGCAAGGTGGTGGAGAGGGGTGTGCGGGTGGGTGGGTGGGTGCGGTGGGCGTGGAGGGAGTGGGGGAGGAGGGGAAAGAGGGTGGGAAAGGAGGGAGCGTGAAGGAGAGAAAATGAGGAAACGAGAAGATGAACCATCCCCCATCAGGTACAACGATGATCAGACTTCCGATTGCATCTGATCTGGTCTGAATGGAGGTGGATGAATGGAGGTGGATGAATGGAGGTGGATGAATGGAGGTGAATGGAGGTGGATGAATGGAGGTGAATGGAGGTGGATGAATGGAGGTGAATGGAGGTGGATGAATGGAGGTGAATGGAGGTGGATGAATGGAGGTGAATGGAGGTGGATGAATGGAGGTGAATGGAGGTGGATGAATGGAGAAGCGGACATGGAGGCGGATGGGCGGCCACGGAGACAGGCATGACACAGGAAAAAGCCGTGCGATGACAGAGAAAGCGGCCTGTACGGACAGAGGGGCAAGGGGAGGTGGGGCAAGGGGAGGTGGTGCAAGGGGAGGTGGGGCAAGGGGAGGTGGTGCAAGGGGAGGTGGGGCAAGGGGAGGTGGTGCAAGGGGAGGTGGGGCAAGGGGAGGTGGGGCAAGGGGAGGTGGGGCAAGGGGAGGTGGGGCAAGGGGAGGTGGTGCAAGGGACGGGGGTGCAAGGGGAGGTGGTGCAAGGGGAGGTGGTGCAAGGGGCGGGGGTGCAAGGGGGGCGGGGGTGCGAGGGACAGACCTGCAATGAGGTGCGGGATGAGGGAGGGGTCGTCTGCTATGATGTTGGCTGCTAGCACTGCTGCTGTCACTGCTGCCGCCGCCACCTGGAGGCATGGCCGTGGTGTGGTGTGGTGTGGTGTGGTGTGGTGTGGTGTGGTGTGGTGTGGTGTGGTGTGGTGTGGTGTGGTGTGAGAGGGAGCATGACAGGGCGGGAGGGAAGAGAGGAAGAAAGAGCGGATGCGACGGGGGGGGAGTTGGAGGTGCGGAATGAGAGAGGGGTCGTCTGCTATGATGTTGGCTGCTAGCACTGCTGCTGTCACTGCTGCTGCCGCCACCTGCAAGAGTGGCCGTGGTGTGGTGTGAGAGGGTGAAGGGCAGGGAGGGGACCGGGGGGACCAGGTGGTGAGAAACATGAGAAGGGGAGAGTAAAGGGGGGCGTTATATTTTCACTGCATTGGAGAGAACAAGGTACGACTGAAGACTCACGGGGGGATGGGGGGAGGCGTCACACAATCAATGCATTTGCAGCATGGTGTGGCATGGCATGGCAGGGCAGTACAAGGTCTGGCATGGAAAGTGCAGGTTATTGGCATCTTGTGCATGTGCATGGGCATGGGCATGGGCATGGGCATGGGCATGGGCATGGGCATGGGCATGGGCATGGGCATGGGCATGGGCATGGGCATGGCATGGGCATGGGCATGGGCATGGGCATGGGCATGGGCATGGGCATGGGCATGGGCATGGGCATGGGCATGCTGCGAGTACAGCATGGAACAACACACTCACAGCATGGGATGGAGCAGAGGCGACGACAGAGACAGCGAGGGGGAGCATGCGGGGATGGGCGGCGAGGAGAGCAGACGGAGGGTCGGGCGCAAGAGAGATGGCCTCAGGCACTTGCAGGAGCGCATCCAGGATGTCATCACTGGTGGGCGGAATGTGATGGGATGGGATGGGATGGGATGGGATGGGATGGGATGGGATGGGATGGGATGGGATGGGATGGGATGGGATGGGATGGGATGGGATGGGATGGGATGGGATGGGATGGGATGGATTTGCTGCTACTCCACTATGGGCCTGGATCCGTGAGAGAGATGGCTTCGGGCACTTGGAGGAGCGAGTCCAAGATGTCATCACTGGTGGATGGCACGGTGGGTTGGGTGCGATGGGTGGGATCAGATGGGTAGGATGGGTGGGATGCGTGTAAATGGGTGGATGGCATGGGTAGGAGGGATGGGTTGGTTGGGATGGGCGGGATGGGGTATGCATCAAAGATGTGTCTTGGAGTAAAACAGGGAGTAAAGTGGAGTGCAGGGGCTAGGGAAAATAAGTGAAAGTAGGGTGGAGGTGCAGGGAGCATAGGATAAGAGGTGGTGCGGTGCGGTGTGGTGCGGTCTGGTGTGGTGTGGTGCAGTGCAGTGCCAATGCGACTACTCACTCGTCCCGAGAGCCGTCTGCGAGTCGGTCCATCTCAGACGCAATGAGGTCAGCGAGGGTGGAGAGCGGTGGCAGGGCGAGCAACGCAGGCAGCATGGGATGAAAAGTGGTGCGGTGTGGAGCGGTGGGGAGCGGTGCGACTACTCACTCGTCCCGAGAGCCATCTGCGAGTCGGTCCACCTCAGACGCAATGAGGTCAGCGAGGGTGGAGAGCGGTGCCAGGGCGAGCAACGCAGGCAGCATGGGATGAAAAGTGGTGCGGTGTGGAGCGGTGGGGAGCGGTGCGACTACTCACTCGTCCCGAGAGCCGTCTGCGAGTCGGTCCATCTCAGACGCAATGAGGTCAGCGAGGGTGGAGAGCAGCGGCAGGGCGAGCAGCGCAGGGAGCAGCACGCGTGATGCGGGGTGCGAGGAGTCCACCATTGCCAGCAGCAGGTCTGTGCACTGAACATGGCGGGAGAGAGGGGGCTCGGGGGGAGTGGTGGGGGGTGGGGGTTGGGATTCAGTTGACTCAAAAGGATGGTGTTTGGCGTGTGCTTAAAAGACAGCAGCACATGTGCTGCCGGGTGCGAGGAGTCCACCATTGCCAGCAGCAGGTCCGTGCACTGAAAACGGTGGGGAGGAGGTTCTTTTGAGATGACTCAAAATTATGGCGTTTGAGTTCTTTGCGCAGCTGACTCACAAGGCTGATACTGCTTTTGAGTCGACTCAAAAGTGACGTTTCTGCGCTGCTGACTCGCAAGGCTGATACTGCACTGTGCGTGTGCGCATGGGTGGGGGGGTGGTGATGGTGGTCGTGCTGCTGGTGCTGCTGCTGGCGTTGAAAACCAAGACGTTTCATCTCAAAGATTGAGTTGCAACTCGCAACCGCCTAAGCAAGATACAGGCAGCACACCGGGCAAGACAGGGCCGGGTTGGGAGTTTTGACAGCGGCGATTGTGTAGAGCCGGATACGTGGGATTTCCGCAGTTATTCAGAGTTGGTCAGTGCTTTCTATCGCAGTTACAGCTGACGAACTGCAACTCAACTCACAGTCTGAAGCATATACATCAGAATGATATAGAAATACATAGAATGATCGCAGCAGGTTAATGGGCCCAAAGGCACAGCCGTCAGTGCCACTGCCACACCCCATCCGACTCCAAACAAAGAGTCTTTTTCACAACAGAACCCGCCGTCTCTTGCCATGCCACACCGAGGCCCACCCCACCCCACCTCTCCCAACCACACCACATTCCACAGCACCCCACCACACCCCACCCTCCCCAGCGTGTACCTTGCGCAGCAGTTGCGGGTGCAGGGTGTTGGCGGCGATCCAGAGCACGCGGGGCAGGCAGTCAGCAGCAGAGCCTGACAGGAACGCCGCCCATGCCTCTGACTCCGCACCGCGTAGCACCGTGCCTAACAGCCTGGTGTGCAGGTGGTGGGAATGGGTGCACAGGGGTACACTCATTGCAAAGGGAAGGCGACACACTGTGGCACACTTCCTGGTGTTTTATGTATTAGACTTCGCGGTTTTTTCTTTCTTTCTTTCTTTCGTTTAATCAATGTAACATCCGTTGTGGTGGTTTGTGTCATGTACCCCTGTAAATGGTAATTACAGGCGACAATTAGTAGTTTAGGTAGGAAACTGTTTGTGCGACACTATACCGGTATGTCGCACTCTTTGCAGTATACAAGGAGCCTTTTACTGAGGAATGGGGTGTTCTGCTCTGCCTTGACTTGGGTCATGAGCGCAGGCAGGCAGCACCGCATGCGTCATAAATAGGCAGTTGACCATTGACCATGAACTGACCCTCGTGTATTCACCATTCACCATTCCCCCTTCTTGAGGTGCCTAAAAAATTGACCCTCGCGTACTCACCACTCACCACTCACCATTTCCCCTTCACGACCCATCCTCCATCCACCATCCACCATTACCACCCAACCAAATATGAGGCACCCTTACCGGCAGGTCTCAGTGAGGCAGGGGGGGTCGTCCTCCCCCATTAGCACGCCCACCACCGCATGCATCATGCTGCTGGGCGCCGCACTGTCACCGCCGCCCATGCCCATGGCAGTCATGCTGTGTGCTGGCGCCACGTGGCATGCCAGGTTGGCAAGCAGCCCCATGCAGATCTCCTGACCAGGGTGTGGGTGGGGGAGTGGTGTAGGGCGTGGGAGGGAGACGTGGACAGGAGAGGGATGGGAATGCGTGGTAAACGGGTTGAGACGAATCAGGGAACAATGAGTGAGTGGCGGTGGGCATGGGCGAGAACAGGGGTGGAGTGAGGTGACGGAGAGCAGTGTATTGGAGGAAATGCGTGAGGCGGGAGACAGAATAGGCGAGGGGGTATGAGAGAATGAGAGAGATATGGTACAACGGGATCTGATGCCTTGAGAGCTCTGTGATGCATGCTTGGAAATGCTTGCAAGGAGATGTGCAAAGTTCAAAGTAGGTCACAGGTAGCTATTGTAAATGCCACACGCATACAGACCTGGCATTGTGCACAGGTACAAAGGCACAAGCAATCATGAGCAGTAGCGGGAAAATAAGTAGTGCGGGAGCAAGACGCGTGGTGGATGCATCCTGAGTGGGTGCACATGGGAGTGTGAGTGAGTGAGGCAATGCAGGCATGGGAAGCGCGGGCATGTAGTGGTGCAGGGCAGGGCAGGGCAAAGCAGGGCAGGGCAGGGCAGTGACGTGCAGGGCAGGGCAGTGACGTGCAGGGCAGGGCAGTGACGTGCAGGGCAGGGCAGTGACGTGCAGGGCAGGGCAGTGACGTGCAGGGCAGACCTTGAGTCGTGGTGATGAGGAGGGAGAGGCGAGCACAGAGAGCACCACGTCCAGTACATGGCTGCGTACCTGCCATGCACACATGCACACGTGGCACACATGCACACACGCACACACGAACACATGCACACATGCACACATGCACACACGCACACACGCACGCACGCACGCATGCACGCATGCACACATGCACACATGCACACACGCACACATGCACACACGCACACATGCACACATGCACACATGCACACGCACACACGCACACATGCACACATGCACACATGCACACATGCACACATGCACACATGCACACACGCACACACACACACATGCACACATGCACACATGCACACACACATGGCACCAACAACATGGTATGGCGCGTGGCATGAGATGGCATGACATGGCATGGCATGAGATGGCATGACATGGCATGGACAACCAGGCGCACGCACCCATGGCAAGGGCATGCACATCGGTCGCAATGACTCAACTCAGCGAGCCAATCCGCACAGCGAACCTGCATGGGGCTTAGATGTGCATGCGCCCACCATCCATGTCTCATATCCGAACAGGGTGTACCTCTAAAGAAAACGATTTGTTACCAGTCAGGTCACGCCATTCCACCATCCTAATAGACAGTACACACGCTTCTGCAAATATGGAGCACCCACCATATTAACCACCGCAACACCCACCGCAACACCCACCGCAACACCCACCATAGCACCCACCATGAGCTCGGCATGTTCCTCACTGGCCGCCAGGTCCCACAGCACACACCCTGCCTCCTCCCTCCTCCCCTCGCCGCCCTCCCTCGCGCCTCCTCCCTCCCCCTCCCATGCGCCCTCCTTCCCCTTCCCATCATCATCATCATCATCAGCATCACCACCGCCTCTACCTTCACCTCTCAACCCGTTTTCTCTCACCTCCCCACCTGCAATCCCCCTCTCTCCCTCTCTCTCCCCTCCAGCGCGCGCTCTCGCCTCCCCTGCCCCTTCCTCCCCCCCCTCGTCCATTCCAACCCCCCCTGCTTCTTCCGCTTCTCCCCGCACTGCGCCTCCCCCTCCTGTTCCCCTCCCACCCCTCCCTCCCTCGCTAACCGCCTCTGCCCCGTCTCCCCCTCCCCTTCCCTCCGCATCTCCCCCCCCCGCCTCCTCCAGCAGTGTGCGGATCAGCCTGATGATGTGGCACGGGTCTATCGTCGACAGATCCTCTTCTGCTCCCGCCCCCGCCTCCGCCTCTGCCTCCGCTCGCGCTCCCGCTCCCGCTCCCGCTCCCGCTCCCGCTCCCCCTCCTTCCCCGTTCCTCTCCCCCTCCCCCTCCCGCACCGGCCCTGTCTCTCCTTCCGCTCGACCTCCCGTCTCCACCCTGCTTCCAGCGCCCCCCCCTCTCTCCGCTTCGGATTGCGCTTCCGCTGCGCGTTCCCCCCCTTCCCCCGCCATGTTCCCCCTTCCCCCGTCCGCATCTCTCCCTGCGCGGGCTTGTGCCACCTCCCCGTACCCCTCCCCGCTCCCCTCCCCCATCACGGCTTCCGCGCCTCCCCTTTCTCTCGCTACCCCCAGCTCCCCCCTATCTCCCCGCGCGTCTACGCTCCCCCATTCCCCCGGATCTGCACCCGCAGCGGAACCTGCTCCGCTTGCACCGCACGGGGAGGACCGCATGGGGCTCTGCGGAAGGTTGGTGGGTGAAATGAGGGAGGAGGCTCCACGGCAAGAAAGCAGGGGACGAGGGAGTCTGGACTGGACGAATCTCGCCTTCAAGGTGAGCGGATTTGTGTGTGCCAAGGTATGACGAAGGGAAAGCGGTCGGAAGGTGGAGGGTTGCACGGAAGCGGAATTCGGTACAGAGCGGTGAGAAGGTGTATGGTGAGAAAGTTGAAGGCAGGAAAAGGCAGTAAATTCACCACGGAACTCACCCGCGAACTGCGCCCCTGAGCGTGTCAAGAAACTTGACGAGTTGGTAACCTAGTCTGTGTGAGAGCTTGTCACAGGAAAGCCATTGCACTTGGATCAGCCATGCTGACCAGGAATCACAAGGCCAGGAAAATTAGATAGGCTGTACGCGGTTGGAAAAATGATATGGAGCAAGATAAGTGTTGATAAGCAATCCTGCACACAAACTATTGTATTAATACAAGTTCTAGGTATTGATTCAAGTATAGGAAGCTGGAGCCTAGAATTTCATACAACCCTCGATTGATTCTGCTTAAACATATGTACCCATATAAACATTCTATCTCTTGTATCTACGCCTCCGCAACCACTAGCTAATTATAGACTGAGATTCGAGAATGGCGGTTTACGATTCAACACTGAGAAGAAATCCCTTAAAAAATTAGTTCTGGGAGAGTCTGCGGTCTTTAACTGTTCGTAACAAGCCATGGTGGTTGAAGCTTTTCACATTATCACCGTAAGACCTTTACATCAAAATCGCGCATACGCGCTCATTGTAAATACGGCTAGAATACTGCAAATTCCACCTTACAAGGTGGGCACACGGTCCGCGGCAGAGCCGAGCGAGGTCAGAAGGTTGTTGCCGAAGGGGTCGCTCAAATGGGTGGTCAGGTTCTCTACTGGGCCCTCGCCGGTGACCTTGGCCTGGATGAAGAATCCGAGCATCGAGAACATAGCGAGCCGGCCGTTCTTCAGCTCCTTCACCTTGAGGATGGCCAGGGTGTCGGGGTCCGAGGCGAGGCCAAGGGGGTCGAAGGAACCGCCGGGGTACAGGGTGTCGAGGTCCTGAATAGCAGAACAGCGGAAACAGACGCGAACATTTAGTACCAGGTGAAAGTGCAGCAGCAACGAAGCGAGAGCCACGAAGCGACGATGAGTTCTGGTCATGTACTCACGGTGCCGAGAGGAGATGCGTTCTTGCCGCGGTAGAACTCAGCACCGCCGACGAGGACGACCTCGGCGAGGGTGGCGATAGCCAGGTTGACGGGGATGGTGGCACCCAGGTACTGGATGCTGTCACCCTCGAGCAGGAGAGCACCGGTCTTGAACCACACGGCCTCAGGACCGCACACGCCGGGCACGTACTTGTTGAACGCCTCGGGCAGGATGAAGCCGGCAGCGCCGAGCATGGCCCAGCGACCGTGGATCACCTCGTTGGCGCGGTACTTCTCGAAGTCAGCGGGCTTCTTGCTCAGGCCCAGGGGATCGTAGCCATAGCTGGATAGCACGAAGAGGTGAAGGAGGACCGTTAGCACGAGGAAAATGTGGAAGAGAAAGGAAATTGCGGAGGCGAAAGCAACGACGAAGCTGCAATTAGGACTGCATGTACGGCAAGGGGGCTTACTCGCCGGGAACCTCGCCAGTCAGGTAAGACGGGATCTCGGACTTGTCGAGGAGACCCTCGGGAAGGTAGGTCCTGCGGTCGGGGCCTGCAATGCCGACGAGATTGTTAATTAATTGCTACGAATATTCGAAGGCTAAACAGCGGCAGTTCTTGAGGCTGGTCGGATGGCCGCTGGTCGGATTACTCACCATACCACTTGGCCAGCTCGGCATCAATGGCGGAAGCAGGCGCGGCCTTCTTGGCAGCAGCGGCCTTCTTCTTGCCGAGGGTCATCACCGTGCGGGAGGCGGACTCCACGCGGGGAGCGACGACATTCTGGCCAAGGAACGAGCTCCTGAGGACAGCGGACGAAGATGCCACGGCAGCCATGGTTGCTAGTGGAAGGCTAGAGTGGCACACTTCGAACACAGGAGGGTTGGTTGAGAGCTTGACTTGCTCTTCCGAAGTGCAGACTGACTGGATATGAGGGAGGCAGGAGCAATGCTGGGACCCGTGTGGAATCGCGTGGGCCTCCTGGCTGGTCCTCCCTGCGGTTGCCCCAACTCCCGAGGGCAGCGGAGCGAGGTGCTCAGCCAACCCCGATGGATGATGCTACTTGCTCCGAGGATTTCGCGACTAATTCGCGCACTGTGACGTGGCATCATCGTACTGCCTGAGCTAACGCTGGTCTATCCTATCTGCTCTCCTTCCTGAAACGAAATTTCCCCCACGTCAGCCCAGACTTCCAGGAGGTAACACATCGGTTACGAAACTGTATCGTAACGTTGAACTATCATTACAAAAACCATTCATTTCACCTTTTAAAGTTTGGCTCATGCTGGCAAAATGTGTTTAGTGGTATGGTAGTGAGGTGTGTTAAAAAACGAAGGATCTTGGACAGGATAAGTCTGCTAGAGTATTACAGTGTGTTATAATTCTTCGAGCATGAACCTTTATCGTAGTGAATGTAAAAAACATGATTGATTATAATAAAATATTTCAACCAATAAGCACCTAGCTCCATATTTCGATTTCTCGGTCCCTCGTTATAACTCACTACGGCTTTATTTCACTGGCATTCATATTAATCACTTTTTCAATATTTACTTACGCGCACTCCTTCCTTCTGTTGGAAACAATTAACTCTAAGCGCCTCTGTCGTGTCGAAACACCAAGTCAGAAACGAAGCGAAGCATATCGAAGCACTGGCGAGTCAACCCTCGGAGGTTGAGCAGTTGCTGGAGGTTACGCGAAAGTCAAAGGTCAGCGACCTTTGACCTGACAAGTACAGCGCGACAGCAAAGACACATAACTGACTCGTTACAGAGCAGTTGCCCGAGTCGTCACTGTATCGAACCGCAACAGCAACAGTAAAACATTTGGAACCGTATCTCTTCGTATTCCTTGTACTCTTATATAATCTTGTATCTCTTTGCTTTAATCAATTCACTTTGCCCTCACATACCAGCGAAGGTGGTTCAAACACTTCCGCCCTGCAAAGATCCGCTAATTACAACAAGTCATACTCAGAGTTCAGCCCTGCAAAGATCCTAAGGGCATTTCTCAGCCCAACATGGTATGAGAGCTAACAGGGGGAACTCAAACATTATCAAGTTATCTACAACGTCAGAAGACATGGCAACACAAAAGGAAAGGAGCTCCTCTAACGGCTCCCCGTGTACTGCTCCTACTCCACCTCCTGCCTCTGGCCTACAGACATAGGAGGGTACGGCAACAAGACCAAGAGCAACTTCTACTGAGACTCCTGCGAATCAATCTGCAGGCTTCGATCAGAACATGATGGAGAAGTTTTTCTCCTTCATGTCCTTATACGAGCAACAACAACAGTCGGCACCTGCGCAATCAAACAACAGCAACAACAACAACAATGTGACTCCAATGAGCCTTGATGGTTCATCCTACGCACGTGGAAATCAACAGCAGCAACCTACCTTTGCCCCGTACGAGCCTTAGCGCAGCTCCGTCAGCTTTATGCCACAACCATAGCCTGCACCTAGACAAGAGAAGACACTGGACGCACTTCAAGTTGAGTCGCAGTTCGCGCACGTCTTAAAACAGCAGACGTCAAGGCCGTTCGACGGAAAGATCTTCTTCACCTGGTCATTCGAGTTCGAATTGATGATGGAAGGCACGCAGATTCTTGGCTTCTTTGATGGATCCCTGCCATATCCGACACACGACACACAATATGACAAACATCAATACATTTATCAGTCAATGATGGCGTACACGATTCTACTGAGGAACATCACTGCGAATCAGCAGCAGAATAAACGGTCTTACTGGGGATACGCCAACTCCGCCGAACTCGCATACAACCACTTGAAGAGCCTGTATCAAGCAACAGACAGCGTAAATCAGAGTCGGTTGATGGCGCAACTGACAACAGTCGAGATGAAACCAGGCAAAAAAGGAATGGCGTATATCAGCCGCTGCCGCGAACTACGCGGCAAACTCCTTCGATGCGGAGGGTCAATCTCCGAAGAAGCCTTCGTCACAATCGTCATCACTTGACTTGGTCCTCATTGGCGCTCCACTGGAGCCATTCTCCGAGCTCACCGGGAAGATTTTTGAAGCAGCACTTTGCGCCGAAATTCACGCCGAGCAGCAAGACATGGACCTGCTGCAAGATGAGCGGCACAAGAAGAAAATGTCAGTTTCCGAATTTGCGTTCCACACTCAGTGACGCTACAACAACAACAACAGCCGACATCAACCAAAGCCTGTACCTCCGTTCTGCCATCTCTACAAGACGTCAGGACAGCCGCGAACACACTGCCTGAATCGGCAACAATCAACACCGCCACAGGGACAGCTTCGACCTTCAAGTAGCCAAGTCGCTTCAACACAAGCGAACCCCATCGCTCAAGTTCAAACGACATCAACAGGACAACCTACACAAGGAGCAAGGAACATCGTCAGTTGTATGGCAAGACTGAGCGACTCCTGTATCACCGAGTCACCGCCACACTACTCACCGGAAGAGCAACTTGACAACACCACACCTCACCGCGAGTCACTTCAACCGAACCCAACGTACGCAGCCATCGCCCAAAGCGAGCCGTCCGGAAAAGATACTTGGTTCTGGGATAGTTGCTGCGGGCAGCACATGTGCTCCTCGGGACGTTTCGTTCAGCGCGGGCACCAACTTCAACGCGAAGCCGCCATCACCGTCGTCAACAATCAGAACCTGCGCACACGACGACAAGGCGTGGTTCAACTTCAGTCAAGGGAGACTAACGTTATACTGCAGATGTCAAAGGTATTAATCGCGGAGGGACTCGGCTACAACTTACTGAGCGTCAGCCAGCTGATGGCGAAAGGCATCCACCTTGAAGCAGATAGCACCACCCAGGAGTTTAAGTTGTACCACGGAAGAGGGGGTCCCTACATCGGCAAGGCAGTCCTGAAGAACAACGTCTTCGTTCTCGACTTTGTCCCAGACCTTGGCACAGCTGACAACAACGGGATCGTCACCTTCACTTCCTGGACACATCCACCGGATCTTGACCCCAACTTCAGCCCCGAAGGATTCTGGCACTCGCACACCATTCTTGAAGCAGAAAGAACAAGAGCGTTAGCGACAATTCAACATTCGGCAGCAGCACAGACAACATCAGCAGCAGTAGAGACAACATCGGCAGCAGCAGAGACAACATCGGCAGCAGCAGAGACAACAATGGCAGCAGCAGAGACAACAACGGCAGCAGCAGAGACAGCGGAAAAAACAGTGGTAACATCAACACCAATCGCTGGTCCTTCAACGGCACCGATCTTCGTCGATGACACACCACCGACACCCACGCAGCAGCTAAACCCGGCACGACGAGAAGTTCATCGAAGCGCAAACTTCACCGCCAACTTCTACTCCAACTCCGACATGTACCGACGTTCACCCGGACACCGCGCCAGCGAAGAAATCTGGCATGCACAGATGGGGCACCTGAGCAACACAACGTTAAACAACACGATAAGAGCAGGAGTGCTCGACAGAGACTCGCTTCTACTACATGACGGGAGAGAACTCCAACGGGTAAAAGGAACGTGCTTCACATGTCCTGAAGCTGACTTACCTTATCAGCCGTTTGTCCCTCACCACAACCGGAGTGCAGCGTACGCACCGCTCGAAAAGGTGTACAGCGACATCCTAAACAATCGCGTACCAGGACAAGGAGCTTACAACTACACCATCACCTTCATCGACGCTGCCACTCGATACATTTGGCACCTGAACCTTCCGAGTCGCGACATGGCTTTCGAAACCTTCGACAGGGAATTGAAGGCACTAGAGGAGCGCAACACCTGGAAAGTCGTTCCCATCAGTGTGGCACGAAACAAGACTATACTTACCGGAAAGTGGGTCTTCCGTGTGAAGACAAAGGCAGACGACACCATTGACAAATTTAAAGCATGCTGGGTCGTACGCGGTTTCGACCAAGAACACGGGCGCGACTTCACCGAGACATTCGCCCCGGTCAGCCGGCACATGTCACTTCGAATCCTTCTCGCGATCGCCGCCATGAAGAAGAAGAAGCTGCGGCAAATCGACGTTGCCAACGCCTTTCTTTACGCACCCGTCGACGCAGAAATTTTCGTTGAGCTACCACATGGCTCCAGTACGAACTCCAACCACGTCTGTCAGTTATTGAACTCCCTGTACGGGATCAAGCAAGCCTTGAGACTATGGCAGCAGTACCTCCACGCCCGACTCGTTCGCATCGGATTTCACCAACTACCGCACGATCAAGGCATGTACCGGCTCACAAAAGGAGCCGACTACATCTTACTTACAGTCTTCGTGGAAGATCTTTTCTACATCGGCTCAACCGACGGGATCACTACTTGGTTCGAATGGGAGATGCACAAAGATCTCACTCTCACAGTCTCCTCTACCGTCACGCAATACCTCGGCCTCAACATTCAGGAAAAAGGAGACGCAATCTACCTCAGCGCCGCGAAATACGCCGACACCATCGCTAAACGCTTCGCACTCACACTGACCACCATCTCCACGCCATATCTGTCGAGAGAGTTGGTACAAGAGGAAAACCCTAGGGGGTTATACTGTGAAAGTTTAGAAGAGAGAAGAGGGTTGAACTAGCAAGAATGGGGATACAAATAGCAAACCCTAGAAGGGTTGTACTCGCTATGGAGCACCCCACTACAGGCTAGAGCATAATATTCTGACACACCCCCATAGCCAAAGTGGGGTGTAATCAGCAGAGCAAGCAAAGCAGTACAAGCTCAGGGTGGATCACAATGTCACCACACATTCTGAGCACAAGTTCAAGAAGCAATAGTTTAAAGTTAACAATTATGAGCAAAGCTAGAGGCTATCGCAGAGGGCAAGTGAGGAGGAGGAGGCGAGA